GGTGGGTAGAAATGAAATAAGAATTAGTTTAAGTAGATTTGTCTCCAACTGAGAGGGGAATGTTTATAGTTCTAACTAACCATAATTACAGACTTTTATTTATTTTTTCTTACTTTATTATTTGTTTACCTTTCTTTTCTTTTCTTTCCTCTGAGTTATTCTGTCAGGTATATTCATAGAATGAATTGATGAGAAGGAAAAAAAGAAAAAAAAATTTTTTTAACAACCATCACAATTTGGATGATCCAGTCTAAGAAATCTAAGCATTGTTTTAACAAAGATGATCCAGTCTACCAGCTGGTCCTTGGTTAGAAATCTTAGCATTGTTTTAACAAGAATGATCCAGTCTACCAGCTGATCATTGGTCAGAAATCTTAGCATTGTCTTAACAAGTATGATCCAGTCTACCAGCTGATCATTGGTCAGAAATCTTAGCATTGTCTTAACAAGGATGATCCAGTCTACCAGCTGGTCCTTGGTTAGAAATCTTAGCATTGTTTTAACAAGGATGATCCAGTCTACCAGCTGGTCCTTGGTTAGAAATCTTAGCATTGTTTTAATAAGGATGATCCAGTCTACCAGTTGATCCTTGGTTAGAAATCTTAGCATTGTTTTAACAAGGATGATCCAGTCTACCGGCTGGTCCTTGGTTAGAAATCTTAGCATTGTTTTAACAAGGATGATCCAGTCTACCAGCTGATCCTTGGTTAGAAATCTTAGCATTATTTTAACAAGGATGATCCAGTCTACCAGCTGGTCCTTGGTCAGAAATCTTAGTACTGTTTTAACAAGGATGATCCAGTCTACCAGCTGGTCCTTAGTCAAACCTCTTGGCCATGATTTTACAAGGAGGATCTTCCAGCTTCATTGTCAAGAAAGTAGTATTTCTTACAATGATGACAACTAAGGTTCACAAGGAAACAGGTCCTTGTCCAAATCTTTTAGTAATGATCTTTCCTGGATCTGGGGTGGATCTTAGAACAGCAAAATTTTCAAAAAACTGTAAATTTCTATAAGTGTGCAGGCTTGTATCTTAAGTGGCAACACAATAAAGATGTCAGACCACCAGCCAAGAATTCTAATTAAAACCTATCAGTAAAACAATATTGTTTAATCAAATTTCAAAAAACAAACTAATCTGTGTTTTATCATCCATTAAATTTCAAAATAGTTCCAAATTTTAACAGAAAATATAAGAATTGATGCCAAATTGACTTGGTAATGTTTCTGTTGTTGTTTTTTTTTATAAAAATATCAAACTTTACAACTAATATTACTAGCAAAGAATTCTTATTTTGTATCAAATTTTAATTTCTTTTTTTAATCTCTGAATTATCCAATTTTATTACCAGCTAGCATGAAAACTTTAGTCCCACCCTGAAGCCAGTTTCTCAAAAATTTGTATGACTAATCTCCCACGTTAAGTGAAGAAAAACGTTACTATTGATGTTGTCAAATCATTAATTTATTACGTTTACGCTTTACGTTAATCGGCAATATTTTTAGAAATGCGGGCCTGGATATACGTGATAAACAGATGTGATAAACAGATGTGATAAACAGATGTGATAAAAAGACGTGATAAACAGACGTGATAAACAGACGTGATAAAAAGACGTGATAAACAGACGTGATAAAAAGACGTGATATACAGACGTGATAAACAGACGTGATCAACAGACGTGATGTACAGACATGATATACAGACATGATAAACAGACATGATAAACAGATGTGATAAACAGACATGATAAACAGACATGATAAACAGATGTGATAAACAGACATGATAAACAGATGTGATAAACAGATGTGATATGGTTGCTATAAAGGGCCAGACATTTAATGTTGTTTTTATATCCTAGTTTATCCTGACACTGGGATATCATGTTTTAGGAACTAGGTAGAGGCCAGAGTTATCAGATTAATTGCCAACAAGCTACATGTAGTCATGTGGACTCTCAAAATTAGTTATGTTGTTGACAAACCCAGCCACAAAATAAAGTTCTAAGTAAAAAAAAAAGAAACTATTTCCTTGACCAACTAGCTATTTGTAATTACTGAATAACACAATGGCTACAGAAACTCTCAAAATTACAAAAACAGTTCAAAACAGAGTGACTTTATCGAGTTTCTCAGCAACCTATGAACTACCCTTTTCATACTATCATTTAGACAATCTGGTTAATTAATAGAACAATACATTTATAATTAGCCTTAATTACTTAATATTCACTAATTACTAATATTGGTAATTTATTCATTTCGTACGTCATTATTCTCTTCTCAATGAACTCTATGTTTCGAATCCTCCTCTAGATAAGAAAAATTCTGATGCCTGTGCCTCTACTTCTGACAGTCGGCCCAGAGTCAGTTTTCACCTCCTAATATCTATAAAGAATTGTAATTCTATGAACTTGACTCTGTGTCTAATTGTGGTTACTGTTTTTTACCATGTCTATTTCATCCCTAACTCTGAATATTCACTAGTAAATATACTGTTCAGATTCTAATATATCTAAGATATCTGGTGATTTGTTTTAACACTAATAACTACAGCAGTGTTAGATGACTGGATACACACAATAAGATACAGAATAAATATCTTGATATGAGTGAATGATATATCATTATATAACTTAATAGAGGAAGTCATTCATGTTTTATAAAAACTCATTTCCTTCTAAAATTTCAAAAAAAATGTTCATGCTGTTTTAACTCAGCCTCGAGACTTCTAGATAGAGATTTAAAAATATACCAAATAAATCAACTTATACTAGCATTCATCAGGAATGAAAATCAGACATTAAAGTTGAACAAACATTGACATGTTCTGATATAAGCCAATAATTCGGTTCCTGATAATCAAAGACATTTCAAGAACCACGGTTCCAATATCACACTGTTCTGTAATTTCACAGTGCCAAGACATCCAACTGTGGTGGATATTGACGGTTGAGGTTTCACTTCTATTATCCATAATACTGACAGTTGGATAGTGTTGGATAGCAGGCTAGTGACAATGTCATTAGCCCAATTTGGTGCAAAAAATGAAATGGAGTTTTATGCCTACTTTTTTGAACCATGTGGGCTAATGAAGACGGGCAATGCCATGCAGTGTGCAATGAGGGAAATTTTTCCAGCACCGTGGCATTAGCCTGCTCTTTTTCAATTTCCAACTGTTGAGGGATCTTTAACGTGCACAGCCTGTAAAGTTTCTAGCATTTTTAATATAAGTAGGGCTTCCACGATTCAGAATATTGTCTGAAACATAACCCATTTTGGGGTGTTCAATTCTGTCTGAAGACTTAAAACATTGACAGTCAGGGATGCTAATTAGTTTGTCTTTGCCAGTCATGTCCAGCTCATGTTTACAAATGATTGACATTGAATATATCAAGAGGACATTTGAACATAAAAACTCCAGATTATAAAAAGTCTACAAGCTGGCAACAATACAAGAGTATACACTAAACAAAATTAGGTCTAAAACATAAAAAAAAAAGTTGGATGTAAAACTCCCTTTCATTGAGCAGGATGTCAAACTGATCAAAATATTTGACAAGAAACGTACATACCGATAAAAAGGTTGTAAATAATGACAACACACCCAATAAATCCTAAAAGCTGGTTATATCACTAACGAATTCATTAATTAATTAATATACATAATACTATTACAATACCTAATATATATTATTCATTCTAACTCCTAGTCTTATCAAATGTTAAATGTCATACAGAATATTCACTATATATACTGTATAATTTTGAATATAATACACATCTCTTTCCTTGACTCTAACAATAGGTAATATCTGTTATATCTATAGTGCGCACCCTCTTTCCTTGCCTTCAAGAAATTAGGAAATCTATTCCTATTATAAAATGAATGCAATCCAAGCAAGAGTATGTGCTAATTTATTTAGAATGTTTTTTGAAAGAGTTATCACCAAATGTTTTGATAAAACAAGAATCACATCCCTCTCCCAACATTTTGCAACAAAATTAATATTTTTTATACCTGGTTTAACTGGAAAATTCAAAGCCTAAGAACCAATGTGAACAGATCCTTAGTATTTTTTGTAACCTCTTTTAAGTCCAAGTTAAACGGGAAAATCCGAACTCTAATGCCAATTTGAACACAGCCTTAGTACCAATGTGAACACAGCCTTAGTATTAGTACCAATGTGAACACAGCCTTAGTAACAATGTGAAAAAAAGCCTTAGTATCAATGTGAACACAGCCTCAGTACTAATCTGAACACAGCCTTAGTACCAATGTGAACTGAGCCTAAGTATTTATTCTATCATCAATCACTGGTGTAAATTAATGAGACTGTTGGAGTTTATTTAATAACAGTTTACTCATACAGAATCTTTCTGATCTCAGACCACAAACATTTCTCATTTTATTTTTATTACCGCTGACTGATCGATGTGATTGAAGAGAGAGCTATAGACTTAATTATTTACATCAAAGGGATATTGTTGTTTAAATATTTGCTTTATTAGTTGTGAGTGTAATTTGTGTAAGAAATTTCAGAATTAAATTGCAGTATGTGTACTATATTTTGACTATGCCATTTCTAAAATTGCTTAAAATCTAAATTCACTTATGACAAAATCAAAATTTGAAAATCGTTTGTACAGTTGACAGATATGACTGGATCTACTGTTGATATCATAGTAATATTATAAATAATCAATGAGACTTATCAGATGTTACCTACGAGGTACTAGCTAGTACCAAATAATAGAAACACTGGGATTAACAAATAAAAGACACAGTAAAACTTTCCAAAGAGTGAATTTCTGTGATCCTCACTCCTCACTCAATCTAAGATGGTATTACTATTAGCATCCAAGGATAGTAACTACGCTCTCAAATAATAAAAACTAAAAATTCTAAAAGCTTCAGTTAGTTGATGCATCGGGAGGATTATAGCACTCACAGAAAGATTTCAGGGAATAAATAATAAAAAAAACACCAAACAAACTCACCAAAGCGTCAGCCTCCTTCCAGAGATCATCAAGTTCCTGAAACTGTTGATTGATCTGGTTTAGCGCCTTCTCCTTCTCGTTGATCTGCTGTTTGAGTTCTATCTTCTGTTCTGTCAGGAAACTAAACATCTGATCCAGGTCCATGTTGTTAGGGGAGACAGGAGGTTTATATTGAGACCACATCGATTCGATCATATTAGTTAGAGATTCTAGCTCCTCTTGAGATTCCCTGAAACAAATCATTTCTTGAAATTATCTCCCTGTGAGAAAAGTGTCCAGTTGTTTTTGATGGGAAAATTGGCTTAAGGCCTGTGTGCTACAATATATACATTGTTAGACTCCCTTTCATTCCTGAGATATTTCTTGAAATTAACCTCTGGTAGAAAGTGTCTACTCTTTGATCACGGTCAGCTCAGAAATAAAATTTTATCTTTCAATTCACAAGTATTCAAAATCAAATTTCAATAGCATGCCACCAAACTTAATAATGTTAACAATGTTATCAAACTGTACATTTTTTAATGAGACAATTAACTGATGTCCTGTATATACAAGATGTACACTTTTCAAAACTCCATTTTGTTTGAAGTCACAGATTGTCATAGTACAAAACTCATCACATATCAATCTCATGTATCTTTTTGATTTTGTTTTTTGAGCAAATAAGATATTTTAAAAATATTCTAGTTAATTTTCAGAACCATAATGAAGTGGCCTTAGTTTAAACCAAAAAAATTCAAAACTTACTTTAATGTTTCTTCGATGGCGGTTTCATCAGCTTCGGCCTGTTGTACTTTCAATTTCTCAGCCTCCATTTCTTCCTGTCTTCGTCTCTCTTCTTCTAAACGTTTCTGAGTTCTCAATCCAGACGCTACTTTCCGTGCCAACGTACCACGAATATACGACTAAATTGAAATAAATGACAAATATTAAACAAAAAATTTCATTTGATAAGAAAGTTTCATTAATAATCATGGCATTTTCTATTGTGAGCCAAAAACTTATTATATATTAAATTTACAGCCAAGCTATTTTTTTCTGTATTTTTTTGGTTACATTTTTAACTTGGTATTTATAATGTTATAGATATTAAAGGGAGCTAATTAAAGCAATCAAAATAATCAAAATATAAAGATAAAGGAAAAGTCACTTGTGAAAATATTGATAAAACTTAACAGACACTGAAAGTTACTTGTTCTGTTGTTAATAAACTTATTTAATATTCTACTGTTACTTTTAGTTTCAATAAAATACATCTAACACTGACTTTCTCTGATAACGATATAAATTTATATTTTTCAACCCTTACCTGTATGACAATGGCTGCTTTACGTTTTCTAACAAATGCCAGACGGTATCGTAAAGCTCGGAAATTCTGTTGTATGATGATGGCCGCCTCTCTCATATGTAAATAATCTGAAAAATTCATTGAAAAATAATTAAAATTTGGAGACGAAATTTATTAGGACCATCATGCATTGAAAAGGAGGTAAAAACTTTGGGACTTGGGCTCCAGTTTTAAAGCTACTTGGTTCAAATATCAAATAAACAATATCAGAAGCACAGATAGGATATATTTTCACCATTTTATTTTTCAGACATCTGTCTTTAATTCCACTAAGCGTTTTATGACGTCACTACTCCAAAGATCTTAAGGTATTATTAGAAAAGCTCTGTATAATCCCTGAAAAGCTGAAATGATGCTTAATAATCTTATCTATCATCCTATTGGTGTGTATAATTAAGTCCAAGTCCATGTAAATTATTACCTCTGTGTTTGACGTATCCCCGCCATATTTTCTGTATAATCGTAACTTTCTCTATCAATAGTTCTTGGCGTTTTTCTTCCAAAGGTTCAAATACACTGGTTCTCATAAACACCTGAAATTACAACACAATTAATTGATTTCTTTTGATGTTCGATTATCTGAACTTGATTCAGATGAAGTCTTCAAAAGCAATTCAATAAAAAACCATCACTTTGAAGCTTTAGTCTGACATGACCGGCAAATATTACCATAAAAAAACCTGTAATCAAGCCATTAAGAACATATGTCTTTTCGAAAGAGTATATTGCTTGTATTTTTTCATTTTAACAGCTGATAGATCTCAATTATTCCAGCTGTAAATGGGTACAGATAATCTGTTAAGATCAAAGTCTAGAGATTTGTTCCAGAACCAGCTGATAGACATGATCCTTGTGAAGCTAAGCTGTTATCCTTTTAAAATATAGTTCTTTCTTTCTTCCTTATTAAGAAATCCTATTTTTCAATTTACCAGCTTATAAATCTCAATCAAAGTTTCCCATATCACTTTTCAGCCTCCTACAAAACATCCAAGTAGGACATAGTTTAGCTTTACTATTTACAGTTTCCCTTTTTCACTCATCCTTTTTTCTAGTTTAATCACAAATTTTAATATTCTCATAATATCCTTTAAATCATTTCTTCAATTTTTACAACAGAATATATTTCTATCATGAATTGAGTTCTAAGATTTCTTGAATATTATACTCCTCAATCCTAAATTATTACTCAATCCTAAATTATTCTTCAATACAAAATATTTTACTTAAAAAACATAATCTTTATCTCAATAAATATTAAAACATGAGTAATCTACTTTCAATATTTCACTTCTAGTCCGAAACTTCTTAACTCTTATATTCATAATAATATATTATCATTGTTATAGTTGACAGATGTCAGCCATGGAATAGTCAGAAAAATTGTACCATATATTGTGACACTAATGAACACATCTCAAAAATAGACTTAACTGTTTGAGTATGAATGAAATAAAACAATATATACCCTGAACTCCAAGTAATATAACTAAAAGCATATAACATCAACGTTGTATGATGTCACTTAGTAACGGTCATATTGTTATATATTGGGTAATCATCGCTGCTCTGTTTGACAAAAATAAAATGAAATGAATGGAGTTTTACGTCCTACTTTTCTGCACCATGTGGGCTAATGAAGACGGGCAACGCCATGCAGGGTGCAATGAGGGAAGTTTTGCCAGATTTTTTAACTGTCGAGGGATCTTTAATGTGCACAGCCTGTAGCACACTGAGCCACGGTTTATTGTCCAATCCAACGACTAGAGGCTTTTTCCATGTCAGCCCCTCTTACAGGGGGAAACCGGGTTGAAAAATCCGGATATCTTGAAGAGTTAAGATTTGAAAAATTTAAGGTGGAGAAATAAGCTTGACAAAATTTTTAGAGTTTCTTAATTAATAAATTCTCCAATGGCTATTCTATCTCGGCTGATATATGTTAAAACAGTAAAATCTGGAAAGTTTCGGACTTTAAGTAAATCATTATGTAATAAATCATATCTTGTATCTCACAGGAAATGAGAGGCCATAGTGATAATAAATACATCTAATTATTAAATTTCAGAGAAGCAAAGGTTAATATGAGTGATAGAACAATTTAAATCAAGATATATCCTTTAAATTTTTCACATAATAAAGACACGAAAATTTTAAAACATATATTTGTGTATTTAAAACTAGCAACTGTTCCCAAAAACTTAAGCCAAAATGAACGATTTTTGTATTGATGTGACGCATATTATATAAATAATCTTGATGTCTAAAACTAGCAATAGTTCCCATTTCAGAAATAAGGTAAGAAAACACATACACAAAATTTAAAAAATGTAAACAATACGACAATACGAGTGTAAACATAATTTCACACCTGTTGGGCAAATTTATCTTACGGTTAAATTATTAACTCTCTAGAAAAAGAGGTGAAAAAAGAACTAAAAACCAGACAGAAGATAATTGAATTTTCTGATTCTTGAGTCATTCTTCTGATGTTTAAATTATACTTTCTATAATTCTAATAGTACATTCTAGGTGAAGATGGTCCTCAAATCAATACAAGAACTAATAAAAGCACAGGCCCTGGAGAAATAATTTTGTTACAGGTAACAGCGTCAAGATGTCAAATTTTCAATGGAAATTAAAGAAATTAAACTGAGGATATTTGAATATTGAAACACTCTGAAGTTAGACTGACCCAGGTTTAACAAATTGAAAAGAAATCTGAATTTTAAAAATTATTCATGTTAGAACTTTGAAACTGGGGTGTGGTTGATATTAAATCAAAAATTATTATAAAAATTTTAAAAAAATTCCACGTAGGACTATTCTCTTTCAACATTATTCAAGTGTACTGATAGACCAATAAATAACATTATACTAAAAAAATAAAAAATATTAAATTGATGCTTAACAGCTGCATGAATTCCACATTTTAAGATAAAAAGTAAATTAATCAGCAATATTAAGTGCATCAGTCTGATAAGTGGAAATTCGTACTGAAACAAATTATGATTAGAACATGCCAACTTAGAAATATAAACATTCAAATATTCATCACTAAGAAACCGTTTTCAGTGGGCAGAATCTTTCAGCCTATGATACTTAAACAGTGGGTGAATTGTATATTTTTTAAGTTAAAATAAATGGCAAGGCCAGTCTGCAATTAGGGGAATTAAGCCACTAGTGTATTTCCAACTTCAAGATCTTCAAGGGATTATTAAGTGGTTTTTAAACTCTTTTTTATGTAATCAGGTCATTTATGGCTTCTATTAGCACCATTCCAATTTCCATCAGATATCCGTGATTCCTCTAATCATAGAAATGATTACTAATTTCACTCAAGCTGTTAAAATATCTGAAAGCTTTTGTTATAGTAAGATCCTAAAATGCTTAGTTCTTGTGCAACTGCAAGAACTGGTCTTGGAATTTGTTTCCTCTCTGTTTTTTATTAGATTGAAAGAGATATAAGAACAATCTGAAATCTTGAGAGTTGTTGACTGAACTCTTCAATACTGACAGATGAAGTAAAATATAGTCCTATGATACTACATAGTGGTACAAGTAGCTTTTTTATTGTCATCTGAACTGGCTGATAGCATTACAAACAACCGTTGTACAACAAACTGGCTGATAGCATTACAAACAACCATTGTGCAGCGAACTGACTGATACCATTACAAACAACCTTTGTGCAGCGAACAGGCTGATAGCATTACAAACAACCGTTGTGCAGCGAACTGGCTGATAGCATTACAAACAACCGTTGTGCAGCGAACTGGCTGATAGCATTACAAACAACCGTTGTGCAGCGAACTGACTGATACCATTACAAACAACCGTTGTGCAGCGAACTGGCCGATAGCATTACAAACAACCGTTGTGCAGCGAACAGGCTGATAGCATTACAAACAACCGTTGTGCAGCGAACTGACTGATAGCATTACAAACAACCGTTGTGCAGCGAACTGACTGATACCATTACAAACAACCGTTGTGCAGCGAACTGGCTGATAGCATTACAATCAACCGTTGTGCAGCGAACTGACTGATAGCATTAAAAACAACCGTTGTGCAGCGAACTGGCTGATAGCATTACAAACAACCGTTGTGCAGCGAACTGGCTGATAGCATTACAAACAACCGTTGTGCAGCAAACTGGCTGATAGCATTACAAACAACCGTTGTGCAGCGAATTGGCTGATAGCATTACAAACAACCGTTGTGCAGCAAACTGGCTGATAGCATTACAAACAACCGTTGTGCAGCAAACTGGCTGATAGCATTACAAACAACCGTTGTGAAGCGAACAGGCTGATAGCATTACAAACAACCGTTGTACAACATGTGAGAAGGCCTGCTTTTATTTCAACAACCCAGTTTTCAATTTTAGGTCTCATCATACACTACAGGTCACCATTTACAGCCTCTACGTAGGCTTACTACTCATTTTAATTTCAGATTCTTGGCCTCTGAATGAGATCAAAGTAGCAAGACACATTTGCTAAAAGTTTACATCCTCTTAGTAGGCTCACTGATCCCTTTAATAATTTCAAGGTGTTGAAAGCGATCAAAGAACCTAAACAGTACCTAGAATATTTCCTAAATTCTTAAAGCCATCATCTAAGTAGGCTTACTGATCCCATTGATTTATAATCATTTTTTTTAATTTGATAAAGGTAACAAGTTCTATGCCTTACATCCTCTAAGTAGGCTAACTGATGCCTTTACTATGAACTGTTAATTAAGTCAATGATTGGATGGTGCATCCTTGACACAATTCCGATAATGGAATGAAGAAAAATTGACGGCAGAAAGCCAAATTATCAGTTAATAGTAAAGAGTTAGAAAACAGTCAATTTATCAATGTGAAAACTAAAAAACTATATATGTATTTTAAACTCTTTAAAAACTACTAAAACATTTAATTTCTTCTAACCAAGTGACAGCACTATTAAAGATGAGGTTTTTTTCTCAGAATGAAATATCTGGCAAATGGTTTTAAATAATTCCGAAAGCTATTTGCTCTACACTTTCCTGAGATGATTTTTTTCACTCTAAATTTGAATTTTTTTTTCAAAATTTTTTAAGAAAATAACAGAATATAAAATTAAAAATGACATTTCTTAATTATAGACTAACATAATTAGGTATTTAAAAAGCCAATGGTGAAATTCTCTAGAAGAAAAATTAAATATTTAATATTCTTTAATGTCAGCCTGACATTTTTATTTCCTGTGAATTCAAAAACAATTTCTAATTTCTATCAGAGTGCAAGCAGTAGCCTTAATCAAGTTAATTTACCATGAAAAATTAAAGTCGAGCACTGATATCTCTGTACATCCAGGTCCATTAAAAACATAAACACAACTAGTCCACTTTATTTGTAGGTAGTGTAAGTAATAATCAACACAATATAAGATTAGTCTGTATAGTTTCTATTACTATCTATTCTACCTACAAATAAAGTGGACTTTTCTCGTGTTTATATTTTGAATCAGGCTCGGCTATGTGTGAATATCTCAACTTGATGATCTATAAC